GAGTCGCTTTGTTCTGACGCAAAATGACTCTTCATCAGCTGCAATTTTTGTTTTGAGGGCGGAACCGCAACCGAGGCCAAGCTGTGATTTAAATCCAGGTCAGCCTACTTTTTGCTTGACTCCTCCGACAGCTGCACGACGGGATCGTAAGATTTGCCCTGCACATCTGTCCCGAAGGCCATTGCGTTGGTTTGGCTTTGTTGGTTTTTTTTTTTATGAACGAGCTTTCGGACTTGGCAGATAAAACCTACAGGGCCGACACAAGGGACGCTTGCGGTGTCATCTGCACTTTAATGAAACAGGAATAAGAAAAGATACACCCTTGAATAAAAAAAGAAAAGGAGATAGATGGATGTTAGCCAACTGCAAGTGCCTCAAGGAAGATCTACTCCCTCGGTTCCATCCTGCTAGCAAGGTACAGGCCGTGCACATTGTCTGGAAGGATTTTTAAGTGCTTGCAACGTCTCATGCTCCATATATGCAAGAGTCTTGCCTCTTCAGTCTTTTCCCAGGCTTGCGTGACGAGTAGAAGACAGAGCTAAACGCTGTCATTCCTCATATTGGAGCATTTTTTAAAAATAGCCTCGGATGTGGTAAAATTGGTGCAGTGGATCGTAGCAGCTTCTGTGCTCTGGGCAACTCGGTAGTGGCGATACATTATTTATTGCTGCTGCTCTTCATTTTTTAGTTATGAGGAGTGCAGAGAGCGGGTTGTTTTGCCGTGGTGGGAGTGAAGAGATGGGCGTAGGCTTGGAGCTGCGGCCCAAGGTTTGTGGTTGCCGTGATTCTTGGGATGAGACCCAAACGAGCGAAGGGTTTTCGTGAAACTTGTTTGTGAATGGTGTCAATAGACGGCCAGAGACTGATTCTTGACTTTAGAGCCTTCAAGTAAATGAAGCAGTGGAGTTGAGCTGTTGGGAATTGGTGTTTAACTCCCACGTGCTGCGCTTTTTCCTTCTCTTTGGTAGATCTAACACGAAAACTTCTTTTGGGAGGGTGGCAGCGGTGAGGAACAGCAGCTGAAGGGTGCTGAGGGGCAGGCTGAGCGTTTGCTGGGAGCAGAGGTCGTCTCTGGGAGCAGTTCTCCCATCCCAGCTCTTGAAGTTCCAGGAAAAGTCCTTTGAAATCCCAGTATGGCTGGGTGAGCACGTCCCAGCCATGGAGTGTAACCACAGCTCGTTCTTGCTGCCCCAGCGGTTAAAAACTGAAGATCCAAGTTCAATGAAACATTCAACACAGAAGTTCCCTGGAAGTTTGACCTTTCCTGGATGAAACCTTCAGGAAAAATCCAGCCCAGAGCTCGGTGGCTTTTCCCGGGTGGAAGATCGAGGACTTGGCAGTGTTAGGTTTGGTGAGGATGGGCTCTGGTTGTAAAGGTCTTTTCCAATCTAGGCAATTCTGTGATGGCATTTTAAGTTTGAAATGCTTCAAGTCGTGTTTTTAGCTTAGGCTCTAGCCGGCTTTTTCCAACGGTAAGAAAAAAGTGGCTTCCACACCTGAATCTCCAGCGACCCAAGTTAAGGGGTTGCCTTTGTCACCCAAGGATACTCAGAGTCTTACAGCAAAGGAACGTGGGTTCCTTTCGCTGGATTCCACGGGGAATAACAACTCATCCCTTTCCCGAAGGAGAGGACCTGGAAAGCTGTGGGAAGGGAGTAGCCGTCACAAGGGTACGTCCTGTTGGCATCCCGTCCCCTGCCAAACCACCTTCCCACGTGAATTCTCCGAAGACACGCTGCTTTTCTGGGTCCTTCCTTCCGGTAGCCCCTCTCACCTTTAAAGCGTTAGGTCTGGCACACCAGTTCTTCTCGCTTTGCAATGTCCATCTCTTTTTGGTGCGTGCTCCAGACTCCACAGCTCCTGTTCTCCGGTACATGATCAGGCAGATCCTGGGCCCCAGGGTGACACAGGCAAGCGCTTTCCAAGAGGATTTTCAGTGGCCAGGACCCAAGGATAAAGAGCACAAAGCTGCTCTTCTGTTGCCTGAGGGCAATCCGAGCGCTCCCTGCTTGCCGGTGTTTACCTAGCTGCCTTTACCGCTTTATCAGTTCTTAACAAGTTCTTGTAAAACAGATTTGAACAGCTGCTTCTGCAGTCCAAGGGAGCGGGTTAATAATGTCTAACCAACAGGCAGGCTGAAGCCGCAGCGTCAGATGGAGAAACTGAAGCACCTTCCAACCGGCTCCCATGGCTCTTGCAGGGTGGAGCAGCTCTGCCAAGGCCACCGGCTGCTCGGTCCTGCAGGCTCCTTCCTGAAGGGTTCGTTTGGGGTTGCTCTGTCCTTACTATCCTCTCGAACCCAGGTTTTGGGCTCAGCAGCCTTCCGTCGGCTCCAGAAGTGCGGGGAAACCCCGCAGCGATGATGCAGATTGCAGAATGTCGTCCCCTTCCGGGAGGCTGAAGGCTGGAAGTGCGGAGGGACGGCTTTAAGAAGAACCAGGATCTGCAAAGCCCGGTCCTTAAAACCTGTGTTGCAGCACTTGGTTCTCTGGCATCAGATGTGCCCTCCTGGGGCTGACGGGGTACGGAATAGAAATCTGTGCTCGGGGAGCAGACGTGCTCCTTGTGTACCTCCTTCCCTGGGAGGAATTAAAGGACAAACAGTTGGGGGGGATTGGGGTGCAGACTTCGTATTTCTGTGCAGGAGCTCATCTTTGAGCGCAAGTTGGTGATGGTGTTCCCTCATCCTTCAGGTTTGTTGGTTGGTTGGTTGTTTTTTTTTTAATACTGCTGTTTGGAGGAGGCTTCGTTGTGTTTTAGTAGCTGGAAAGGTAACGAGTTTGCAATTGAAATTCCCCGATGGCAGCCTGAGCAGAACCACCCTTCTCCTCCCCGAAGCGCCTGGAGGATGCGCTGTCGGGACACGCGGGTTACGTCGCTTCTCGGTGCGAGCTGGAAAAGAGGAGATGAGTAAGAGGAAAGCCTTGAAGCTGAGGCTGAGCACCCCTTCGTTAGCCCAGTTTTGCGCCGCTCGGATCTCGGAGGGGTCGCTGCAGCCGTGGAGGAAGGGAGGGAATCGTCGGGCTCGGTCTGACCGATCCGATCCGCTTTGCGTCGCCTTTTCGCTCTGTCCCCCTGCACGGAGGTGACCTCGGAAGCCACAGCGAGGTATTTTACCTGCCTGCAGGAATCCCAGGAGACCAGTTCTGCTGTTTGCTCCTGCCTGAAGTTCCAGGTGTTGGTGCCTGTGGGCTTGGACCCCGCCGAGAGACACGGGGGCCCGGCCGCCTCTCCGAGGGTTCTCAGCTGACCTGGTGGCTGGAAAGCAGAGCCTCACGTTTCTTTTAGATCTAGAGGAGGGAGCTTTTGCTTTTTATTTAAAAAAAAAAAAAAGATGCAGGTATCGCCGCGATAGTTTTCTGCTGTTCTCCCTGTCCCTCCTCCTCCCGTGCGACTTAGCGAGCGTGATATGACCCAGCCTCAGTTGAACTGACTCTGCTTACGTATCCTTTTTAATTTTTTCTTTTTCATTTTCTGTCGCCTCCAGAATACATTCAGAAATATGCAACAGAAGAAGCACTAAAAGAACAGGAAGAAGGCACCGGGGACAGCTCGTCCGAGAGCTCCATGTCCGACTTCTCGGAAGATGAGGCTCAGGATATGGAGTTGTAGTAGAAGAGGCGACCTGCTTTTCAGAGAGACTCGTAATTTCCTAACCATGAGAAGCAGACTATAATATTCATATTTAAACAAAGCAATTTTTTTTATTACTAAACAAGGTTTTTATGAATAATAGCATTGATATATATATATATATAACCCTTTAGATCACCCTTTTTTTTTTTTTTTTTTTTTTTCTTTCTTGGTCATTTCTCGAACCCGAGGTGCATCATCGCATATTCCCACATTCCATTTTGGTAGCAATATGCAGCCCGAATGCATGCATTCAGATTCCATTTGGCCGAGTGAAACTTGTGTGCTACTGAACTGTCAGCTCAAACAGCTGCCCTGGTAGGTAGGGAGTTAGCAAAGAAAAAGAGAAAAAAAAAAAAAAAAAAGAAAAAAAGGAAAGGAAAAAAAAAAAGTTTGCTTTTCTTATCGATGTTTCCAAAGACGCCGCCTTGGATGCTAACGTGGAACAGCGTGGGTTTCGGTTGTTTGTTGGGTTTTTTTTGG